GAGACCCTCACATCTTTCCACTCTGGGTACCTTGTTTATAATATTACATTCTAAATTGTACTTTCTAAACTGTTCAACATATTGGACCTTCTTTAAAGAGATACAGGAAGGTTTCTTCACCTTGACTGGCTCTTCTGATGGGCAAGCATGAGCAGAGGCTCTTCTGTTGCTGTTGCACTAGGAAGCCTGAAACACAGAGGTTTAACATACAGAGCTACTGGGCACAGTGACACTGAAAGTACAAAACATTATGGCAGCTTGTTTTCTGGTGACAATCGTAAGCCTGGCAAGGAAGAAACTGGTGCTGCAGTAAAGACACAGAAGGCATCTGGTACAGAGATTTGGAACATGTCTCATACAGGCATTTTTTTCTGATTCTGCTTCAGAATTCTGTACAAGAGTCTTTTTTACCAGCATGAGATAATATGACAGAGATGTGCCAAAGTGTTTTGGGAAAATCTCTGGAAGAATATCTTCTCAATCAAGGCAATTTCAGGTAATATCAACAGAACTTCATAATGACTTAACTCCTACCTCGAAAACAAAACATCACTAGTTTAGTTATGCTCTTACCAATAAAGATAGCAGCACTCTCTCGAACCCATGCCCATCTGCTCCTTGCAAACTTGAGGGCACAGTTCTGATAAAGGCTGACTTGGGTAGGGAATGTCTTTATCTGTACACAGGAAAATTAAACAGAGAGTGAAATACCACTCTACTAAGTGGAAAAAGCCTCCCTGTGACAGACAACACTCTATTACAGGGCAGCATGTGGGAGTACACACCCTCATCTCAGGATTAACTTCACCTACTGAACACTACTGGCACCATCTATTGTGAATTGAGTCTGACATTTGTGATGTTATATGTGAAGTCATCTACAGACATTTCACACAGTACACTTTAAATTAGGACACACACTGTTTTGTTTATGCAAAGCTTATCTTAGTTACAATTAATGGCAAAAATCAGACGGAATACTACAGCAGTTGCAAAGGTAGAAATGCTAGGCAGCAGTCAGTGCCTTATGAGTGCCCTCTTCACATTCCATCAATCCAGAAGACAGTCCCAGGAGATCCTCACTCACCAGGATGCTGGCCATGTCCATAATGAACTGGATTACATTCAGCTCCTTGTCCTGGCTTAAGCTCTCCTCCAGAAACGCTTAGATAACTGGGAAGTCCATTGATGGAACAGAGGACTCAGAGCTGTCCTGAAGGCCTAGAAAAAGCCAGACCAATTAAAACCAGGGTTAATATTCACACAGGAGAAAAACTGAAAAAATAAGATTGGTAGTTTACCAAAAAGATAAACTAGCACTCAAATATTTTTGTACAACAATGATAGTACCTGTAAGAAGTATTTGGATTTCTAAACTTGCTAGAAAACAATGAAGGTAATGACTTTTTTCTTCCTCAATTTCAAAGACCACTCATAAAAGACTTGGGGAAAAAAGCTGGTAGGTTTTATCATGAATCGTGGGACAAAAAGGCCAATTAATGTGAGGCCAAAATTTTTGTGAATCATTGCAGCTGGGTGAATAGAAAATTTGTAAATGTCACATTCACAGAAACATATTTTTAAGATTTGGATTTTTTAAGACATCATGTGCTTTGTGAAAAATTGCTCATATCCCAAACTGCTCAAAAAAAGCCATTTGGTTTGGTTATGATTCACAAAGTGGAACGTATGCACCAACCTGATGAAAGAAAAGTCTGACTGTGATTTCAATTTATGCATTGCAAGTATGTGGTCTGTACAGCTAAAGCCTGCTGTTAAATTATTCTTCACACAATTCACTTCAAACATAGTGACATCATTCAAAGATTTTGACAGATAAGTTATCTAATATTCTGCTTTGGTAAAGTCAGAAAATGTATGTAAGTCTTACGTAATCATTTTCATAGGCAAATTATTAACATTTTAATTAAAAACAAATCTGATATGAGGGAAATAAATTCACTGAAGACACAAAATATTCTTTTAACATCTGTATTTTGAAGCTTAAAAGTGACAATAATAAATGTGACAGTAATGTGACATTTATTGTTTTAATTATTTTGAAGACAAAGAAAAATGACCTTTTCTGTTTATTCCTTGATACCACAAAATCTTAACAGTATTTGGCA